TATATATATATATATATATATTTAAGAAAGATCGCTCTATAACCTATTTTTATTCATTTGGTTTTATATATATATATATATATATATATATATATATATATATATATGTGTGTGTGTGTGTGTATGTGCATTTGAATATATATATATATATATATATATATATATGTATATATGCATATATGTGCGTATATATATATATATATATATAGATAGATAGATAGATAGATAGATAGATATACATACATTGTGCGATGGAAAAAATTGTTCACCTTTTTTTCATTTCGGGCATGCGGTTTAGTTCACTTTGATTTTGTCGACTGCACAGTATATTTCGGTCAGTTGGGTACCGTCTGTGGAAAAATGTTTAACATAATGCAATTCACATCACCAGAAATTTGGAGATGGCATAATGAATTCCTTGGTATTCGCTTCCGGAAGACCCAATATGAACACTTCAGAGTGTATGGGTGTCTATCTGAGCACAGTTCAGAGTATTTGGAAGAGCTGTATGATATATCCAGTCAACATCATAATGTCTGGAGTGATCCCTTGTGATGGCAACGTTATGCCTCCATTTATCTTCTCACAGGCCCTCGGACTGAACATGGAGGCCTACATCAAGTGCCTTGAGTAAGTTGGGCTGCCCTGGCTCAAGATGGTAGCTGCAGAAAGTTCTTGTGTCTGGTAACAGGATTCTGCACCATGCCACACATGCAAGAGTACCTAGTCATGTCTTTCAGACAATTTTTCCGATCACATCACACTTTATATCTGGCCACGTAACTACCCAGACTTAACCGCCTTGTTTATTATGAGTGGCGTGCAGTTAAACGGGAGACCGACCCAACTCCCTGTAACACCAAACATGAATTGAAGGCAAGGCTTACGGCAGCATTCACCATCTTAAACAAGGAGACCCTCCAGAAGAGTTGCTGGAGATTCCGAAGTTGTCTGGAGGCCGTGATTGAAGCCAATGGCGATTTTATTGAATAAATTTATTCATTAGTATTTCAAGATATTTTTGTGTGATGTTGGTAAATATTTCTGTTAAAATGAGATGTCAGTGTTACTTTCATTTTTGCGTAATTTAGACTTCATTTCATCCATAGCACCTGTTATATATATATATATATATATATATATATATATATATATATATATATATATAATGATAAAAATATAGTTTTATGCTATATGTATGCTCAATATCAGAGAGCTTGTGTAAATATAAAAGTGGACACTGACGACCACATAGAGTGGCAACATTTTTGATCTCAATCATAATGCCATTCTCAGAATTTAAACACGTGATGTCGATTTCGATTTTTCATTAACAAGCAACAATAACTTGATGACGAAATAATAATAATAATATTAATTTGCCCAGACATAATAATAATAATGCACATAATAATAATAATAATAATGGTGATAACAGTAATTATAATAATGCACATAATACACCCCACACTTTACGAAGGGCTTTATCTATGTAATATTTTTTTTTTTTGTCAGTGGAAAGTCTCATGACGCCATTTTCTAACCTTAGAACCCCTGGGGGACCCGGAAAGAAATGTAAAACGCCAGAAATCAAAGAAAATAATAATAATAATAATAATAATAATAATAATAATAATAATAATAATAATAATGCTGATAACAGTAATTATAATAATGTACATAATAATAATAAAACTGATAATCATAATAATGCACATAATAATAATAATGCTGATAAGAATAATAATGCTGTTAATAATAATGCACATAATAATAATAACAATAATAATAATGCTGATAACAGCAATTATAATTCTGCTGCTATTAATAATAATAGTAATAATGCTGATAATAATAATGTACAAAATAATAATAATAATAATACTGCTGATAATAATAATGCTGATAATAGTAATAATGCAGATAATAATAATGGCGATCGTAATAATAATAAGTATAATGCTGATAATAATAGTAATAATAATAATGCAGATAATTATAATAATGTTGATAATAATAAATAATAATAATAATAATGTAGATAATAGTAATAATACTGTTTCTGATAATAATGCTGATGATAATAATATTAAAATCATAATGATGATGATGATGATGTTGATAATATTAATAATAATAAAATTGCCTCCTTATTGATATGAAAGTAGTTTTTTTTTTTTTTTTTTTTTATATTTCGGAATACAGTTTAATTCAAGAAATTGTAGCATATTATATGGATTAATACCATGAAAGTGTTCACTGATATTGGTTGGTTGATTTTGTTTGTCGACATATCAACATCTTTATGGGTTATTTAATGCCGAAATTGAAATAATTTCACACAATTTTATGGCTTCATCTAAATATATTTTGAACGCAGTTGTATGCCTTCAACTACAGATAAAATGTATTGCTGAAACTTTTGCTATAAAATGCATTGTTGGTAATTCTAATGTAAAATGTATTGTTGTTTATTTGGCTTTGAATCGGTATTATTGGATGATTGATTGTGTTTAGCGGCATATCAACACCTCTATGGGTTATTTAATGCCGAAATCTAAATATTTTGAACATAATTTTATGGTTTCAACTAATTAAAAGCCAATATTGTATGTCTTCAACTACAGATAAAATATATTGTTGACATTTTGCTATATGTAATTTTGGCGTTTTTACATAAAAAATATATTTCTGGTATTTTTACTCTTAAAATGTATTTTTATACTTTCATCGTGTTTTTGTTAGGGGCTTCACTATTTGCCCATAGCTGGGACCCTAACAGGTACTACCACCCCGGATAAGGGTGGACCTGGGAACAACTAGAATTAAGAGGTGCTTTTACGTTCTTCAAAATCTCCCCTATCAGAGGATGAATGAAGAAAGCAGGACATGATGGAAAAGTAAGTAATAACTCGTCGTATCGTGAAAATTTCACGTTTGTCCGATTTGAAGTTTCTGATATATTATAATACAGTAGAATTCCTCATATCCGGAATCCTTCATATCCGGAATCCCGCATATCCGGAATCTCGATTATCCGGATATGATTTTGATTTGTATATTTGAACTATTTGGATGATAGTAACTGATATGAATTTTCTGTTTTTCGGGAAATTTACATTGGATAATTGCTTATTTCGCCCTAATGGATTGTATTGGTGCAAAAGCAGATGAGAACAAGTGTTAAAAAATAACTTTGGAGTTATCGTAAGAAATGGAAATTTTAAGCAAACTAGACACCAGTGACATTTCGTTGTAACGAATAACAGAATTCATCATAGGAAAGGCAACATTGTATGATATAAAATCTCTCAAAGAAACTATTCTCCAGCGTTGACACTGTCACGAGGAACAAGGAAATAAAAAAATATGATTGTGATGAAACCTGGACTGAAATTGAAAAAGCTACTGAAAACGGTGTCAGTTTTATGGAAAGAAAGCCAGTATTCAGCTATGACGATTGCAAGAGAAATTGTCTTTCGTTTAAAAAATTTCGAGAACAAAATCAAAACGAAATGCGGAAACAGTTGAGAATGACATTAGAAGAGAAAGAATCGTCATGCAACAGCGAGTAAAAAAATCCTCGTTCCATTATTTGTTTTGCATACGTGGCAGACTTAATTTAATGAATTTTCATTAACATTACATAATTTATTTCTTTTTCCTTAAAATCAATTCCGTTATATTTCAATCACCATTAGCTTATTTTGTTTACGATAAAACATTGAAAATAAATGTTAAACGTGATTTCAGTTCTTTAGTTTTAATCTAAATATAACCCCTCATATCCAGACTTTGTAACCAATTCCTCATATCCGGAAGGCCTTCTTAGTCCGGTTGTCAGGGATTCTACTGTATATAATGAATAAATAATTTCACTGTGAGTTCCATTACTATAGAAATACCCGTGGGAAATTCCCTTTTTGAAACGTTACATATTTAACTTCAACAAATTTAACAAAATATTGCAATAACAATCATAGGTATAAATACAGGTCGTTATTTAATGAAGTAAGAGGGTACAAATGAAAATATTTAAAATTGAAAAGTTTTTTTCTATTTCAAGGAAGCAGACGTTAAATGCAAAAAGAAAATTTGTCGTCTCGTCTCTCCTTTTTCTTTCTTTCATTTTATCATACAACGTTTCTGATATGTCTGTTAAACAAGTTTATCTTCCCTTCCTTTTTTTTTTTTTTTTTTTTTTTTTTTTTTTTTTTTTTTTTTTTTTTACACACTGATGTCAAATAGCGTTTCTGATATGTCTTTTCTGAATTTCCACGCGATCAAAATGGAATAATCCATTAATTATGCAGGTATTGGCAGAGGACGCTATCTTCTCATAAACGTCTATCTTCCCCATTTTCTTTATTTTTTTTCTTTCTCACTGAAGCCAAATAGCGTTTCTGATATGTTTTTTTCCACCGTCTTTCCTCGTGATCAAAGCGAAACAGTTCAGTTCATTATTTACGAAGCAGTGGCAAGAAATGTCAAACAGTTCTATCTTTCTTTTATTTTCTCACTGAAACCAAACAGCGTTTCGGATATGTCTTTTCCGTATATCCTCACGATCAAAAGGGATTAGTTCATTATTTATGAGGCATTTGGCAGGGCGTAACGATCCTGCGAACCGAGCAACTGAGTAAGGAAGGAACCTTCAAAAATTAGATGATAATGATGTTGATGATGATGTTTTTGAGGGAAATAATAATAATAGTGTGACTGCTTGCAATTTCACTTATATAGTCCATGATTCTGGGGCAGGCCGATTTGGAATATGTCTTTCGAAAGACTGTGTAGCTTAAATCACCCAAATAGTTAACAGCGATGTACTTGCAACGGTAATCAGTCCCCAGAGTCTTACCATCGTCCAGATTTCGATGCTGATACAGGAAACGAAAGCTCCTCGCCCGTAGATACACGTCTGTGTATATTCAGCTGTATGTAGTTGAGAGAGCGACTAAGCTTAACGCGAGTTGGGTCCTTTGCCGTGTAAACTCAACTCGTGCGGCAGTGAGTGCAGCGCCTCCCACGTGAAAGTCTTCGTCCCGTGAAGCTTGATGTGGGACGGTTCCTTGCCGCTGATGACGTCCGTCATGAACGAAATGTACGTGATCGCCAGGCGTAGCGTCTCGATTCGCGAGAGGCGCTTCTCGTAGGCGAACGTCGGCACGCGCTTCCGCAGCGTGTCGAACGCCTCGTTCAGGTTGAACATGCGGCGTCGCTCGCGGATGTTGGCGGCACGACGCTGTGCCACCGTCGGTATGCGGCGACGCTTCGGCTTGCCGCTGCTCAGAGACACACCGGAGCCGCTAGAGTTGACGGCGGCGGCCGCGGCTGCAATGGCGGCGGCCGCGGCGACGGCGGCGGCGTTGTAGCCGACCGACAGGGAGAGCGCCGGATGGTGAGGGGACCTTTCCTCCGGTTTCGATCCCGGAAAACCGTATTTCTGATTGTTGCTGTTACGGTGTATCTGTTGGTGTTGCTGTTGTTCTTGTTCTTGTTGCGTATGCTGATGATGATGGTTATTCGCATGGTGGTGGTGGTGGTTGTGCATATATAGACCTGCTGACGAGGTTGTTGTTGGATGGGTCAAGGGGTGGTGGTGATGATGATGATGATGATGGTGATGATAGTGAGGAGAAGGTAGATAACCGGTGTTGGATGTCCCAAGTACTTCCTGATGGTTAGACGTTTGCGATTGGCCTTGAGGGTCCGAATATGGATGAAGACAATTCGAACCCCAAATCCAGTCATGTGAATTTATATCACCATGCTCCGGATCCCCTTCGCCACAACCTACTGTCCGACCCGCGCATTCTGACGGGGTGGAATTAGTACCTGCGTGCAGTGTATTCCCATTTTCGGTATTGAGACCCGTCGAGCCAATGACGGCGCTAAGGGGCGAACCCTCCCTATGCATTTCTGAATTTGTGTATTCTAAACTATACAACATTTAATTGCTTCGAAGAGTGGTAACAAGCTTCAAGGGAAAGCAATTAATATTTAACTGATATATACATCATTCGTTTGTTTAATTTATCACTGCTGATAGATAGATAGATAGATAGATAGATAGATAGATGTGAGCAAGCCGAGATAGATAGATAGATAGATAGATAGATGTGAGCTAGCCAAGATAGATAGATAGGTGTGAGCAAGCCGAGGAAATAAATAGGTATGGAGAAAGAGAGAGAGAGGAACAGATCGAGAGAGATAAATAAATATGAACAGGCCGAGATAGATAGATATGAATAAACTAAGCAGTGAATCAGCTGAGATAGATATGAACAGACTAAGATATCTATACGGATATATATATGTGTGTGTGTGTGTGTGTGTGTGTGTGTGTGAGTGAGTGAGAGAAAAATATTTAGTTAAGCTAAAATTAGAATTAAAAAAAAATGTTGAATGGACAATATTTACCAAGAACAAAAAAATACTGCGTTAAAATTTATACATATATACCCCTTTTTTTCTTGGCTCGATAAACCACACCTTTTTGCAGAAGTGAAGTTGTCATCAGGAGCAACAAGCGGCTCTCAGCAAACACTCAATAAAATGACCTTTTTTTTTCTTTTCGTTTCAGTTCTCCAGTTCGTCTATTCTATCAACATTTTCTTATAAGCCTAAAATGAAAAAATACATTCATATGTATTTGAAATGTGTTTTCGTTCATTTCATTTCAGTTTTCCAGTCCGAACATTAACATTCGCTGATTGGATCGTCATTTGAAATCTTTTTTTTTTTTTTTGTTTTTTATTCGTTTCTTTTCATTTTTTCATTCATCCAATAACGTCTACGAATTTCTAAGATATTTATAAGATATTTGAAATACTTTGTTTCGTTTCAGTTCTCTATTCCATTTATTTTGTTAACAGCTACTGATTTGTCAACTGATTTAAAGAATTTTTTCTTTTTTTAGTTCGTTTCGTTTCAATTCTCCGCCTCGTCCATTCTCTTAACCTCTACTGATTTGTTAGCCATTTAAAAAGTTTTTTTTTTAATATTTAAATTCCTTATTTTCAAATTTGTTTCGTTTCATTTTTCCAGTCTGCCCATTTAATTAACATCTACTGATTTTTTAGCTATTGAAAAAAAATATTTGTTAAAGTATTTAAATCCTTTTTATTTTTTTAAAGTTCGTTACTTTTCAATTCTTCACTCCGTTCATTTTATGAATATGTGTTGCTACGGCGGCCATTTTAAATAATCTTGTATTTCCCCGTTGTTGGATTATAAGTCACTTATTCACTTTTTTTTTTTTTTGCTACTGGAACGCCTGACTTAGCATTCCAATTAATCTTTGTTTAGAATTAAATCGAGGATATACGAGTTTAAAATTTACAAAACATCCATACAAATTGCTTTTCGTCCTTCCGGCGAAATGCTTTTTATCGATGGACAGTCAATGAACGAAATATAAAATATGTCGTGTATACTTTTATATCAAGAGAAACGTTGATGACGCAACGGTATTTAACTTTTAAATTTCTAGCGTCTGACGTGTTTATCTGTACATTCAAACTAACTTCATTCAATTTCCTAATGCTTTTTAATTGTTTTTACCTCGTCTTTTTTTTTTTTTTTAAATCTCATCGTTTTATTAGAGATTTAAGTCGATTTAAGGGGGTGTTTTTTTTCTTGTCTCATAAAAAAAAAAGCCAGAAGTTTTTCAGTGAAGCATAGGAAGGAGAACAAGATATTAACGCGTCTATATTTAATTTTGTGCTTACGGTCCTATCACGTTGAAACACCGGTTCACGTACGATCACAGAAGTTAAGCAACATCGAGCCGGGTCAGTACCTAGATGGATGACCACTCAGGAATACCAGGTGTTGTAAGCCTGGATGTGCGGGTGGTGTAACGGATAACGACACAGAATTGGAAATCGGAGAGCCGAGTTCCAATTTCAATCGGGTTCGTTATATTCACTTAAGCGCAAATGTCCTTGTGTAAGGTAAGAATCTGTCTCTCTCTCTCCACCCCTCAACTATGGGTTAATTAGTAGAATTTGTATCAGTAAATCATTATCTCAATCTAAATGTATTTTCTGGCGTTAAATAACCTACAAGGGGTTGACAAGCCGCAGAAAGCGAATTAATCAATGAAATACTGATTAGCTACAGAGGCATATATAGAAATATATAGAAACTACCGTAGCCAAAAAGTGAGGGGTCACTTTATATAGAGATATTATGTAGAATTGAACCCCCACTTTATATCCACATAATTTCTTGTTTGTTGATAAACCATAGAAAACGAATGAATCAATCAGTCAATGAAATACTGATTACCTACACAGGCATGTCTTTTAGATTTATTTACATTCTCTGGTATATAAATGTATAGAAACAGCCGTGTCCACAAAGTGAAGGATCAGTTTATACAGTGACAGTTATGTAGGATTGATCTCCCACTTTATATCCACATTATAATTTCCTGTTACTTGATAAGTCGCAGAAAACGAATCAATCAATGAAATACTGATTAGCTACACAGGCATATGTCTTTTAGATTTATTGACATTCTCAGGAATATAAATGCAGAGGAACTACCGTGGCCAGAAATTGAGGGATCAGTTTATATATTGGTTTTAATATAGAATTGATCCTCCACTTTATATTCACCTCGTTTATTAAGTTCTGATTAGGGATGAATCTATCTCTTCTCCTCCAGCTATAGGTTAATTAGTAAAACTCGTCTCACTAAACCATCATATATATATATATATATATATATATATATAAAATTAAAAGAAATTATAATCTAAAAATATTTTCTGACTTTAAATAAACTGCAAATGTTGATAAGTCTTAAGAAAACCAAATCAATCAATTTAATCTTGTGGTACTGATCATTTTGACGAGGAAAATCAAGATGGCAGCAGTGAATTATGTTGATATTAATTGAAAAAAACAAAAAGAAATGATAGAAATCTTGATTGTTAGAAGGATGCAACGATTAGTCCCGAAAAATTGTTAAGGTAAGACGAAGTAAGCGGTGATAATGTCTGTACTACAAAAGACGTAGAAAAATGGTACGTTCTTTAAAATCGTTATTTTAGAGAGAAACAGGAGTAATGAAGCCAAAAAAAATAAATAAATTAATTTTTATTATTCTTTTTTTGAAATCTTCATGTAATCGTAAAATTTCGTTACTTTTTTTTTTTAAATCGTAAAATCTCGTTACTTTTTTTTTATTTTTAGAATTCACTTCTCTTGTTCAAATCTCCAAAACAGAAGAATCATTTACCACTATCAGTAACCTCTCATATATATATATATATATATATATAATATAGCGGTGTCAATAAATTTACAAGAACGGAGATAATTCTTATTTGAAAATGGTCGAGTTCAAACCTACTTTTTTCAAAGATGTTTTTGTTTCGTACGAGTGGTGAGGGGGGGGGGATAAATTTTCAATTGAACTAGAATTAGAGTATTTCTCCCTGGCTACCGTGGGACAAAACGGATCTATACTAAAATTCAAAATGATAATTTCTATCTGAATTTCAATCGGAGTTCAATCCCTGTTACGGGCAGTACAGATTTAAACTCTGTGCAAACGGTGTGAGAACAAAACTGAGCAGTTCTATATAAGCAAAAGACGAGATATCCTCAAGACGTGGACGATGTATTGCAATCACTCAAGCCTGTCACTTTAATAAAGGATTCAGTTCGAAAATCCTCTGAAGGTTTCTCTGATCGACTGACACCTGAAGAAGGCCGTTGCGTACAACGGTGGAAACGCTGAGATAATAACGGCAGATTAGGGGATTAATAAATAAAGGGGCAAATTTTGAGGATAATCGGGGGTGGGGAGGATTAACTTTAAAGGGGAATAAATTAATTAAATTTAAAATAGAGAGAAAATAAAGATTTTTTTTTAAGAAAATCCAACTTCACCTTTTGTGTCCTAGATTTTCGATTCTTAGTTTTTTTTTTTCCTTTTTCTTTGCTTTTCCTTGACTCACGCTTTTTATTTTTTTTTTTGTTCTTTGTTTTTTTAATTCACACTGGAAGCGTCTGGAACCGTGACATCCATTGTTATTAATATTAATAGTAGTAGACAATGGTTTTCAGACCAGTAGTAACTTACGGCTTTCACTCACAATCAAGTAACAACAAATTCAATACATTAACAATCTCCTTAATATTGTTCCAATTTTGTTGATTGGATGATTTCAGTTGTTTTTAATTTGAGGTATTAGACTGAATTTTCGGCAGTAGTGTTTAATAATGTCCATTGGTTATCAAGTAAAAGCAATCATCCAGAATACTCCAAAACTTTCCTTAGAATTACTGTTAAGTTTAGTAAAGGTGTCAGTTGAATGGTTATACCGACTGTATATTTTTTCGCTGTGTTTTTTTTTTTGTTTTTTGTTTTTTGGGGCGGGGGAATATTCCAATATACAAAAAGTCGGATTTTATTCTTTTTATTTATTTATTTATTTCGGGTTTCTTTTTAAATATTTCATCTTTCTCTCTCTTTTTTCCCTATTTTTTTTTTAATTTTTCTTCTTTTTTTCTTTCTTTCTTTCTTTTATGTTGTAACTTACTGATTAAGAAAACTTTTGCCAGTTTTGCTCACCTGCTTCGATTCACTCCGCACGAAGAAACGGTCCGACAATTTTAAAAAATAAGATCAAATTCTCGTCTCGTGTATCTTCATACTAATTATTCTTTCTTTCTTTTTTTTTTTCTTTTTTTTTTTTTTGTTGTTGGTCGAGGTGGTGGGAACAAGTTAGGCGTTTTCCCTTGTAAATCCTTGGGAAAGAATCTTGCACTTTTCGTCGGCCCCCGATCCAAACTGCTCAAAACAATCGTCAAAAAATGCTCCTTTTTCTCTTCTTCCTTTTTTTAATTTAATCCTTTAAATATTTTTCGCATCCTTCTTTTATTTTATTATTTCCTTCTTTTTTTCTTTCTTTTGTTTTCTTTTCCTGTGTTGCTGTTGTAATTTAATAGAATTGGCCCAAATGTACGGGCATCGAACTCACTACTCAGTAGCAAAAGTCACACTCGAGCTTGTTAACCATTACACCACCACGAGTGCTTCTGTTTGTTGCCGTTGCTAGAGGACGCTTTACCCGTGGCCGCGAATCAGTCGAATTTCATCTGAGAGTACCGTTTCTTTCAAGATCTCCGAAGTTAAGCAGCGGTAGGCCTACTCAGTGCCTCGATGGGTGACAGTCCTGTAGCAGGTACTGTATGCGAACTTTTGTATTACGTACCAGTAGAGGTAAAGTTTAGTAACCTATCCTTGGTTGTAGACGTCTGAAAAACGCTTAAACATGTCAGGAAGCCGATCCTCAGAATGTAAGTCAAGTTTTTGCGTTCTTCGTCTTTTTTTAAAAAAATAGCCTAGCCATTAATTATTTTTAATGACCTAGCCATTAATTTTTTTTAATGACCTAGCCATTTTTTAATGACCTAGCCATTAAATTATAGACGACAGGAATACCTTTGTATTTCTTCTGTTTTAAAAAAAAGCGTTTTGAAGTTTTAGTCGTCTCTTGATTCAGTCTATATGAACGAGAGATTATGACGATTATCAAAATCCGATGTCGAATTCTTGTCTTTTATAATTCCTCGGCATTTCTTTCTTTTGCTTGTGTGTATGTGTGTGTGTGTTTGTGTGGAGATGGGGGTCTAGGGGATTTGCTTTCTAAGTTTTGGTCTTTGTAAATTTTTCTTGTAGTGTTGTTCTCCCTCACAATTCAAGCCACACCACGAATAAAATGTTCGAATATCTTATAAAAAAAAAACAAAAAAAAAAAAAAAACGTCGATCTTTCCTCTTTTCTCTTCCGTTGTTTTTTTTTTTTTTTTTGTAGAGGCGTTTCTTTGTAATTATCTTTTTAAGAAAGATCCCTGCAATAATGGTCGTCTCCTCCTTTCCAGACAGCACGACTGAAAAGTTCGACTGTCTTAAAAACACGTCGAATTCCTTATTTTCTTTTTTTTAATTTTTTTATTTCTTTGGTATATTTATTTTTATTGTTTAATTATATATTTTTGGTGAGATGTTGCAAAGAAATGTAATTCCTTCTTAAGAGAGTTTCATACAGTTTTTGGTCTCCCCGTACGATTCATTCCATTCGAATGGCCTTGTGCCACAATTGGTTTTAACGAAACAATAAATCGAATAAATCATTCGAATGAAAGGTTCGACTGTCTTAAAAAGACGTCAAACTCTCGTCTTTTCCATTTCTTGTGTATTTTCTTCACTTTTGTTAATATTTTTTTTTCAATTATTTCTTGTTGACGAGATGATAAGAACAGGTTAGGATGTTCCCATTGTAAATCCTTAAACTTTCTTTCCGGTTTTTGTTGAGCTTCGATCCAGTTTGCACAAACGAGGTGATCGACTATCTTAAAAAAAAAAAAAATACAACATCGACTTCTCAAAGACGGCGACTCGTAAGAATCCAATTTTTGAAATCGACCATTTAAGTCGTGTATCCAATTCTGCCAGACGTTTCTTTCTTCTTTTAAGTCTTCAGATAAAAATGATACAAGTTATTTACTAATTGCTACGGATTTAGTTGTTATCTGTCCGTAAGCATTAATGATCTCTCCTGAATGATGGTCGCGCGAAAAGTATTCTAATGGTGTCAAAAACAAAGTCGTAGCACCAATGGCACTGGGTCTCTTGCTCACAAACTTGATATAGTATAGAATTCTTGTTTGGGGAGATGATAGGAGGTGTTGTCATATTTTATCGAGTCAGGAAGAAGGACAGAGAAAGAAAAAGGGAGTAGAAGGCGAGTGGAAGACGGATGCGGAAGTGGAAAAGGATGAGATAGCTTTCTTTTAATTGTTTCTTTTTTCCTGGAAC